CTCCCTCCCTCCCTCTCTCTCTCTCTCCCTCTCCCTCTCTCTTTCTCCCTCTCTCTCTTTCTTTCTCTTGCTATTATCCATCTCTCTCGGTCCCGCTCATTTCAGTCTTCGTGAGCATGGAACAATGCTTGAAAGTAGCGCACAGGGTTTCGCTTACGATACTTAGATACCTATCTATAGGAGCATCCATGTCTGTTGCCTCCCCGCATGCGTGCTTCCTCGCGTGCGTGCCTCCGTGCGTTCGTGTGTAAGTAGATGCGTTCGTACGTATGTGTGAGTGTGTGCGTGTGTGTGCGTGCGTGCGATCAATTGTGCGTGCGTGTGAGCCTGTGAGGGCGAAAGAAAAAAGCGAGAGAGCGCGCGAAGGCGGGAACCTATGCCAATATACGCCACATACACCCCCACCGACTCGCTCGCACGCGCGCAGGCAGCCAAGTGAAAGCTCTTCTGTTCTCGCTCATGCAACTCGATGACGACGAAAGTCGAATTTTGCCGGCAACCAAAAATAACCGCTCGGCGCCCGCATGTGCGCGCGCTGCTCTCGCTCCCCGTATCGCGTTTCGGCGTTAGCCAGCTACGAGCTCTCTCCGTGGGCCGACGATGAGGCAGCGAGGCTCCCTAGGCAGGCTGAGATTAGACGTGGATATCTTGTAGACACACAGTACACGACCGGGCTCAGTGCGGAGACGGGCCAATGAATACGGCGTCGCCAACATAAACCCTTCTCGAAGTTTGAAAACATGCGCTGCGTCTCCGTTTAGTAGTAGATTCATCGATATATCGTGGCGCGATTTCACACGGCTTACATGGATATTAGCGTAAAATTCTCGTAGCATTCCCGTTTCTGATCGCAAGAATTCTACGTACATTTAGCGTGCAGGAAATCCTCACCGACTGTTGTTAGCAGCTCGCCGTGGAGTGCGTGTTCATCAGGGTTCAGTTGCAAACATGGCCGACCCACAAGAAAAGGACGGGGGAGACTCCGCTGAACTCGACGATATTGCGTTCTTAAGGACGGTGAGTAGTATAATTACAATTAATGTCTTAAAATGAAATTGCGATTGATAAATGAAAGGTTCCTAAGCGTTAATAGTCATGGCACGATACTCGATTTATAGATTATGATTGCCAATATAGCGAATTCTCTGCAGTAAACAGTATGTTTTTTTAGGAATATGTATTTCAAATTTTTAGTTTAGACTTCAAGATTTGTTTCTCATCATTTATCAATATATATATATATATATATATATATATATATATATATATATATATATATATATATATATATATATATATATATATATACATATACATATATATATATTCATGAATGGTGTTATACTGCGTCAACAAAATCTACTAATATATATCAGACAAATTCAAGATAATGTTAACTAAAAGGATCCATGAACAACTAGATTGCTTTAATTATTACTTTATCCATCGACTGTTGCTTGTAATTGCATAATGGCACAATTAAAAAATTAAAATATTCTTCATTGCGAGGTTTGACAAAATTCAGCATATTTTAATTAAATTTGTTTAGGAATACATGAAATTTTTTCACCTATTATATTTTGTTATGTAATATTGGTAACATATTGCAACGATATAGCTATACATTTTCCGTGTTATGTACCACACAATAATAGCGTATTTTTTCGGTTAATTGTAAAATTAGAGCTTAATTGTTCTACTGCAATTTTACGATCTTTCAATTTGATAAACTTTCAGTTGGTCTTTTTCCATCTTCGGTATAAGAACTGAACTTGAGGTATATTGATATGACTATCTTCGGCTTTGAAGACTAATCATTATATGAGGTTTCGAAGTATTACTTAAATATCCTACTAGCTGGCGCCACTAGCGCATTCCGCGCTTACTGTGAATTTCGAGTGCGGAAGCCAAGGCGTGACATAACGTCGCAATTTCTTTTCTATATTTTAGTGAATTTTCATGATTTATTACACTGCGAATAATATTTAACCTATCCTCTTCTCAGACTCACTGAGTCTTGCTATATACTAAGAAAGCTTGCTAACTCTTACTGTAAATATACGGACCATGAATAGGAAGAAATTAGCTTCTACTAATACTAATAGTATTAGCTCTAGTACTAGTAGTAGTAGTAGTAGGCTACTATAGCCCGCGTACAGTTGCCACTGGCCAGTTGTACTGGCCAGCGGCAACTGTACGCGGACTATAGTACTAGAGCTACTACTAATATTAGTCACTTCAGGGTAGTGAGAAGGCTATACGTAAGCAAGCAATGTCAGCAACTTGGAGCAAACGTGTAATTGTTGCTATAAATTGTTGGAGTAAAATTAAGGGGGGGGGGGGTGGATAAACATTTGATACGTGGCCATATTTAATGACATTTTTAGTATGGTTAACTATATAGATTTATTGCATTTACACTGAATTAATTACTATAATAAACTTGGTAAGTGGTTTTGTAAAGTATCTAGGTCAGTGATTAAGCTAAGTTGGCCTAAGCTTACGGAAACGTCGGAGTCGTGTCAGTATGTTGTGTGGTGTTAAAAGTAGTAAAGAATGTGTAAAATAATCACGTGCTGAGAGTATAATTTACAACCTCCCATCCAACCATTTGGTGGATAGGTTAGTGTACTCGATCATGGCTCAAGAATGCAGATTTCTGTTTACTGTTAACTACCTTGAGGGTTACTTTGGCTCATAGGGTCTATGTCCCCCAGGGTACTGCCGGAACGTACCCTGGTAACTATCTCAGTATCTGATATGGTTAGGGAGTAGGCGTAGGCGACTCCCTAGACTCGTTAGTGGAGTAGGCGAGGTCCGGTCCGGCATATTAGATAGTACCAGCAGAGCATATAAATCACGTTGATTTATATGCTGGTACCAGGGTACGTACCGGTATACCGGACCGTACCCAGGGTACGTTCCGGCAGTACCCTGGGGTACATAGACCCTCTCAGCGTTACTTTGTATCCCTTGGATAATTCTTTACTATAATTTCAATGGTGTACGTGTTCATCATCATAACTATCACATGTTCAATCTACCTATGACATGTGCATCAGGGTTCTCCTCAGTCAGGCCTAACATATTTTGGTGTCTAACAAATATTGGGTCTAACATGCCTTCAATGATAAAGTTATTTTGCAACATCCCATAATTCAGACATGATTTAATTGCCTAATTAACATATTTCTTGAAGCAACGATTTCATATGTTTTCCCAACTATTTTAAATTCTCACATTTTCTTGACCATTCTCTAATACTTACCACCAAGAGTATACATCAAAGCTAATCATTAGCCTAATGTTTCTTAGTAGAACACTTGAAACATCATTATTTTCATAGTATGTACAGTGATCTGCATTTCAAAGTAGATTTCTTTACATATGTTAGTCAACATCAATAGCACGTGATTCTCGCAACTCATGAGATGCCACCAATCATTACCTTGTCTCTATGCCAGTTATGCTAATTATGCCAGTTACAATTTTTAACGTATTAATAGTAGGACAAATTCACATTTTGTACCACCATTATTCGATTTTAAAAGTGGGACCATGGTCTTTCTTATAGAAAATAATGTGTTGTTGCAGTCTTACTATAGGCATTGCATTATATAAAATCAGTAAGGGTCTGCGGAAGAGACACAGGCTATTATTGATTGCTTTTTGAACAGTGATAGTTCTTGTTGGTTCTTATGACCACAATTGTAAATAGAAGTAACTGTATACAAAAGCCGGTAAAAAATGAATATGAAATAATAAATAATCTGATATGAAATGCATTTCAGTGGTGGTAACTATCTATATTCTATGTGAGTGCTTCAGGAAAACATGGCTAACAGTCACATAGTTTATAGTAAATCTGTCAAATTGCAGTTTTTTATATGTGACACAATATAAATGTTTTTACATGTCAAATAGGCTAGGTTAGCGAATAGGGAACAATTTAAACGTGACTTCATAAGGCTTAATGAGACAATCCTGTGTAATATCTATCGCTTGTGATGTTGTTGCAGTTGTCTTCATACATCATGTAGTTTCATCTCACGCAGTCACTCTCTCATTCTTCCACAGGGCGATACAATATGCATCAGCTGCAATGTAGTGATGGCCAGTCGCGAGTCGATGGCTGGTACCGAGCGCGTGTGCTTGGCAGCAGAGGGCTTCGGCAACAGGACATGCTTCCTCGAGAACATCTCAGACAAGGTTAGTGTGTGGTGCATTGTCACGGATATCCTACGAGATATTCCTGCGTTTCTTTATCTTTTCTTTATAGGATAGTGCAATGGTTATTCTTCAGGGATTCAATGGGGTTCAATGGTTATTCTTCAGGGATTCAATGGGGTTCAATGGTTATTCTTCCAGGGATTTAATGGCATTTAATGGTTATCGTTACAAGGATTGAATGGAATTCAATGGTTATTCTTCCAGGGATTCAATGGTTATTGTTACAGGGATTTAATGGGATTCAATGGTTATTCTTACAGGGATTTAATGGGATTCAATGGTTATTCTTTCCTACACATCCCTTGAATAGCATCTGGAGAACGACTTCTTCTCTCTCTTTTCATTTGTTATAGACGACCTTCAGTCTTTGGCATTTCTTATACCCTCCCCATCGTCTTTCCCTTTTCTACAGAATGCACTGTAAGTTTTTTCTCCTGGAATATGCCCGACATTTTTTGTTTAAAAAAAATAGTTATCTTTAAACCCTTAGCTAATTGACCAGGCAACCAGAATTCTAGTCTTCGTCTGTGTAGGTTGTTTACGACTGGGAAGCTTGGAAGAAATTCTATCAGCAGTAAAAAAATCCCACAAAATCCTTGAGGCAGACATGCAAAAATGATGTGAACCCGGTTCACACTTAGAACTGTAGTTTGTTTGCTTGTCATATACACAGGGAGAATGTAATTTTTAGTTGTTGAAATGATAACAGATTGTAGTATTACAGATTTTATTGTGTGTTTAAAAAAAAATCGCTCATTTAGTCATTTATGCTGCATATTTTAATTTGTAAAAGCTAGAATAATAATAGTTTGTGCAATTATACGCTTAGTTTCAGTAGAGGCTTGCTATGGACCATGTGTAGTAACTAGGCTAATGAAACTTAACTTAAATTATCACTGTAAGAAGAAATAGAAGCAATAACATCCTTCCATGCACACACATACCAGCAATATTTAAAATGTATCTATCCATCTATCCATCCAGCCAGCCATCCCTCCATCCATCCATCCATCGCATGTCATGCCATCTCATCCCATCTCATCCTATCCCATGCCACCCCATGCCACCCATGCCATCCCATCCTATCCTATATGCCATCTCAAAAATAATAATAAATAATAATAGTAGTAAATAATAATAATAGTAAAAACAACCGTAATTCTCCCTATTTTTAAATTTGTGAAATGTTTTTAATGAATGTAGTAACATTTATTTTTTACATTTTGAAATTAACGCTCAAGTGGCAGAAGTAGATACTAAAGAGTAAAAAATGTTAGGAAAACGACCTCGTACCGACTACGCTACGGCGGCGGCAATGACACGGGAAAGAATTCCCACGTACGTGATGATTGAATTTTGACTTTTACATTTTTTTTTACTTGTTAACTGTTTTAAATTTTTGTCTCAGCCACAACCATCTCCCAGACGTCGTGATTCTCAATATTTTCAGTTAGCGCGATTGAGTGACAAATGACGGAGAAAAGCGAGGTCAAAGAAACACACACACACACACACACACACACACACACACACACACACACACACACACACACACACACACAACATTAGCCAAATTATAGTATAGATACTCACAATACTAGCTAATACTGTAATAGTAATAGTAGTGATAGTAATTGTCATGAAATATTACTATTAGTCAAACTATTCACTGACAGTGACAAAAGAAATCAAATGTACTTGTTATACGAATGTTACGCTAGTAGTAATTTAACCGACATTTTTGAAGATAAGCTTTTGTTTATCTTCAAAACATGACACCGGCAAACTACCGCGAAAATCGCAGACACTCGTTTTTTAACTAGTGATCTATGATTAACTCGTCCTGCTATATGCAAGCACCTAGAAAAACGATGTTGGGCTTCTTTTAAAGGCTACAAATACTACAGTTCAGTGCCGAGTGAACCAAATTATGTCGTTTGTATGCGTGCATGTATCTCTTTGTATGTGTGTGTGCGTGGCTCAGTGCGTGCGTGAGTGTGCTTGAAATGATATGAACCCACAAACAAAACATAAAATTCCCCGACCCCCCTGACTATTCGTCGAAATTTCCCGGTAAAATTGTCGACTGTTCGCTGGCAGCTATGGATCCGTGCGCCGGCCTATGCATTCGGCGCACGGATCCATAGCTGCCACGCGCTGCATACTGTCGCACGACGTTTCGCGGTCGCGTGCGCCTTGCCACGGAACTGCGCGCAACATCTGCGCTCAGCGCTTCGGATCAACACCTTTCGGCAACGCTTTTCTAGTATCCCGTCTCATCTGGATTCGTTTACATTGTCACGTGTGCGTGCTCGTGTGCGTGCGTATGTGGCTGTGTACTCGTGTGCACGTGTGTATACGTGTGTGTGTGTGGCTGTGTACTCGTTTGCGTGCGTACGTGCGTGTGTGTGTGGCTGTTTACTCGCGTGCACGCGTGCGTGCGTGCGTGCGTGCGTGTGTCTGTGTACTCGCGTGCATGCGATCATGTCACCACGTTGTCGCACCTAAGTAATAAATGTTTTCTGTCTCATGTCAACAATTCTGTCACGCACAAACACACTTGTGTTCGGTGTTTTTATTCTTATTTTTTATTCTTATCAGAAGTACTAATCTGTCTCGACAAATCTGTATTACGATCTTGCCTTTGCGAATATTACTAATCACAATTTAACTTTCGTTTATGTATGTCTTGGCTTTGCGAATATAGGATGAAGGCGACCAAATGCAGTAAACTATTTCTATTTATTTCGCCAAAGTTTATATTAATCGTAATGCTTGGGATTCGTCAAGTTCAAGTTCGTCAATAATATTCAATACAATTCTAACAGATTTATACATTCGGTTAAAACCCGCGTCATTGATTTTTTTTGTCATAAATGTGTTGTTCATTGAATTTCGCCAAAAACAACTCTATCGATAAATCCA